GAGAGAGAGAGAGAGAGAGAGAGAGAGAGAGAGAGAGAGAGTACATAATTAAGTAAGTATATGTTCACGTACATCGAAACATGAGAAAATAAAGGAAGAGAAAGAGCAAGTGAGTAAGCAGGTACGAGAAATACATGTACATGTGCATGTACATGTAGAGATGCGTAGCGTCGCAAAGCAAACAAAAAATAAATAAAAGCAACACAACAAGTCTCACTTTGCACTCTCTTCGTAGTTTTAAGCTCGGCTATCTTCTTTGCCAAGGCTTGGTTTAAAATCCTAACGATGTGGATATGGACTTTCATCCTTTTCAAGGCACCAACGAAAACGTCGTATGGATGTTCTCCCTTTCTACCACAACGTCCACTGATGGTATCGATAAAGACATTAGCCTTTTCCACTCCTGTAACTTGTGCCTTTATAGTCTCGCAATCAGTTCTGTATTAGTTAGTATGCTGGTCTGTATTTTAGTATGCTGGTCTGTATTTTAGTATGCTGGTCTGTATTTTAGTATGCTGGTCTGTATTTTAGTATGCTGGTCTGTATTTTAGCATGTTGGTCTGTATTTTAGTATGCTGGTCTGTATTTTAGTATGCTGGTCTGTATTTTAGTATGCTGGTCTGTATTTTAGTATGCTGGTCTGTATTTTAGTATGCTGGTCTGTATTTTAGTATGCTGGTCTGTATTTTAGTATGCTGGTCTGTATTTTAGTATGCTGGTCTGTATTTTAGTATGCTGGTCTGTATTTTAGTATGCTGGTCTGTATTTTAGTATGCTGGTCTGTATTTTAGTATGCTGGTCTGTATTTTAGCATGTTGGTCTGTATTTTAGTATGCTGGTCTGTATTAGTTAGTATGCTGGTCTGTATTTTAGTATGCTGGTCTGTATTTTAGTATGCTGGTCTGTATTTTAGTATGCTGGTCTGTATTTTAGTATGCTGGTCTGTATTTTAGTATGCTGGTCTGTGTTTTAGTATGTTGGTCTGTATTTTAGTATGCTGGTCTGTGTTTTAGCATCCTAATCTGTGTTTTAGTATTCACTACTCACTGTTTATCAGTAATGTCAGCCTCACTTTCATGGAGTGGTAATGATATTTTAATAATAATTTCAGTAACATACTTCAATAGTAACTCAACCACCTGAAAAATTCAATAGCCACCTAAAATTTTCATTCCCATGCTCCCATACTTCATACCTGTATTTCCCATTCCTTCAGTCCTGGACTGCATAAGTCTCCACTATGTTTTTTCGATGATTTATCATTATTATTAATGATTGATTTCTTTATGTCACTGACTGCTTGATTAATCGCAGTAGACACTTGAGACAAAATTGGACCTAACTGATCTAGAAAAAAATACAATAATGATAATAATCCATTACCATAACTCCTCCTTCTCTTCTCTCTATCTCTTACCTTCATTATCCTCATAGTGTCTCTTCAGTCTCTCCAGCTTCTCTTCTAATGGAGAATACATTAGCAACATCTTACTGGAGCTAGATCCTAACAGAATAATAATTAAAAATAAATAAATAATAATAATTTATACATGTGCAAGTACCTTCGCCATTACTAGTTGAGTTGTTTAACTTTTTACATTCTCTTTCATATTTAGCAAACATAGACTGGTGGCTTTTATCTCTCCTAACAAACAACAAAATAACATTAATTGTACATGTACATACATGTATATACACTTATCAATTATACATACACTATTAGTTGTACATGTGCATGTACATTATTATAATTGTACACTTATTACATGTACATGTACATTGTTTAGTACTTCTTAAGTGCTTCAATGAGTCTTTCCCTTGTATCAGGAGGTGAAGGAACCTGTCAAAAAATAAAAATACAAACTTTAACATGTACTATTAACAGTAAAAATTAACAATAATAACAATATATAAAGTTAACAATATTTCAGCAATATTAACAAGAAAGATGTCTCTTTGTCTCCTCTTTCTTTCTCACTTGTCTAGGAGCTAATAATAATCTGAGTATCCTTCCAGTATAGTAAGGCTGATTGAATATTTGATACTCTAACAGTTTATTAGGAATAGTCTGACAATTGTTGGCCTCAAATGAAGACATTATGTCATTTAATTCAACTTCAGCCATTGAGAACTAAAGAGAGAGAGAAAGAGGCAGAGAATGAAGTTTAAAAGATTACATGTAAAGTGTATAGTTACCTCGTGATTGATTTCAACATTATCTTCAGTGCTATTAGTATCAATGTAATCATAATCAACCTATAAACATTCAATAACTATTAAAATAAATTCATCAATTTTCTATGCAACATAAGTACATGTATATGCATCAAATAAAATTATAAAACCCAGAATTCTCCACTTTTTAATTTTGGCAAAATTTGGCCCAAGAACCTGTACTATAGTACAGGGACTTTGACCCAATTTTGGAGCAACTTCAAAAATTCACAAAAATTCAAATTTGATTGGAATCACCTCAAACTTTC